TGGGAATTAAGTGAGACGCTGGGTTGAAGTTAGGTCCAAGAACAATGGTTCCTGTGGGGGTTTTAATAAAGAGCGCATAAAGCTGGAGAAGGTGAGAGGCTGAAAGTATGTGAGGTGTGAAGAGGAAACAAACTTTGGAGGTTGTGAGAGCTACAGAGAGTAAGTGGAGCATAGCCTGTAATTTTAAGGGATTCTAGTATTATAGCCACACCAGCTATGGCCCCTAAACATGACGGCCTACGACTGTGAGTTCAAGTTGTTTAGACAAGAAGGTGACTGGTCATGGGCCCGGCTCTGGTGTAAGAACCCTGACTGTGCAGCCTTTACTTCTGCCATGTGAAGGGAGCAGGGCTGGGAGGAGCTGGGGAGCGCTAGCGGAGGGGCTGTTTCTAAGGCCGCCTTTAGTGAATGAAAGGAAGATGGGGAAGGATTGGGGTCTATAGGGTTAGCTAAGTTTCCTTTTGTAAGTTTATAAAGTGTTTGGTTAGGAGGGCAAACCTGCTATCCAGAGGCAAAATTATCCTACAACACCTAGGAAGGAGAGGAGCTGTTGTTTAGTGGATGGGGTTGGGGTTTGGGAAGTTAACTGGATACGGTTGGCAGGAAGAGTACGTGTACGTTGGCAAAGGATTATACCGAGATAGGTAACAAACGAGGAGGAAATTTGGGCTTTAAAAAAGCGTTTTCGAGGTGAAGAACAGAATAGTGAGTTGTGGAAGGGGGCGAGGAAGATAGGAGGGCATAGGGGTTTGGTACAACCGGGTGGATGGGAAGTACAAGCTGACTGATGAAGCGGAGGTCTTGGTCTTGTCTGTAGGATTTGTCTGGCTTTTGGGCAGGTAGGAGAGGGGAACTGCAAGGAGTTTGTAGGAATTAAAAGATCATGTTGTCATAGATGGGTGGTAACAGGCTTTCGGCTTTGTAAAGCCTGTTGTGGGATGGGGTACTGGTGCTGGGTGGTGTAAGGGTGGTCAGGTTTTAATGGGATGGCAAGGGGTGAGTGAGGCAAGGAGTGAGTGAGTAATGGATGAGGAGGTGGTATCCCACACCCTAGGGTTAAGGTAGGGGGACATAAGGGGAGCTACTGAGGGAGGTGCGGGTTTGGGGAAGAGGCTGTCAATGAGGTGTGGCTGCAGCCCAGGAATAGTCAAGGAGGCAATTTTGTTAGGACATCTCAGCCTAACCGGGGAACTGGACAAGTGGGGATGATTAGGAAAGAATGTAGAAAGAAGGGCTGGCCTAACTGACACCAGACTTGGGGAGTTTTGGGAGGCCTGGAAGCTTTGGGGTTAATTCCCGTAACAGTTATGGAAGCCAAGCAGACAGGTCCTTGTAAAGAAGGCAGCATGGAATGGGTAGCCCCATGTTGATTAAGAAGGGGATGGACTTACCCTTCAGCATAAGAGATACCTGAAGCTCGGCGTACGTGACGGTCCAGGGGACGTCCAAGATGTTCAGGAAGCATCAGTTTTCACCTGCCAAGCCAAGGAGCAGCAACATGAGTAGGACAGTCTGATTTCCAATGAGGGCCCCACGCAGATGCGGCAGGGCTTAGGACGAATCCCAGGCTGTGGGCATTCCTTGGCCCAGTGGCCAGTTTCTGACACTTGAAGCAAGGTCCAGGAAGGGTAGCCAGATGCTGCAGTCTGGGCGGTGTGGCGGGGGTTTGTCTTACGGTGGAGTCAAGCATCTGTAGTTTTGAGATGTGCTGCTGCCAGGCAGCTTCTTCCCTATTACTGAACACTTTGAAGGCGAAGTTGATTAATTCCTGTTGTGCGGTTTGGGGGTCAGGTTTTAATTTCTGTAGCTTTTCTGTAATGTTAGGGGCTGATTTGGTGATAAAATGCATGTTACGCATTTTTCAGGGTTCAGCGTTAAAGTATAGGACTGGGTTAGATATTGAAACGTTTATTTTGATGAAAAAGAGCCTAATCATTGGCTGATTTGGGGAAGGTTGGATGAAAAGGCACACGCACCCTAACTATGCCTTTGTCTTCAGCCACCTCTGAAAGGGGGAACTGTCGGGCGGGGGTGGGGGAGGTATCCGTGGGACTAAACTGTAAGCCAGACCAGGTATGAGGTGGGAGCTGACAGGAGGGGCATAAGGAGGTGTGTTGTGGGCAGACAAAGAGGAGGGAGGATCTGGGAGGGGGTTAGGGCTTGGATTGGGGTCTGGTTCAGATAGGCGGGGAGAAGAAAGGTTGGAAGGGTCGATGGAGAAGGAAGATTCTGAGTCACTGGCGGAGGCAGAAGGGGTGGATGGAGGTGGGAGACGGAAAATTTGGTATGGGTTATATTGAGAGCAGATATTGGGGAGGGATTGGAATGTAAAAAAACCCAAAATGCCCGGACGTATGACACTTCAGACCATCTGCCCATTTGTCAACAAAAATTGTCTAGGTCTCACAGGATAGACAGGTTAAAAGTGCCTGTTTTCTGGCCATTTGGAACCCTTGTCTAATTTGTATTGAGGCCAGGCTGTGTTACAGAAAAATATGAGACATTTAGGTTTCAGACAGGGTGACAGTTAGAGAAGTTTTAGGTTTTTTAGGAGGCAGGCTACAGGCGAAGACAGAGGAATAGAGGGCAGAATATTGTCCCTGGTGAAGAAGGTAAGTATTAAGGAAAGGAGTATAGTAGCCATGAGCAGGAGTGAGCAGCTACCAGGGTTAGTAGGTGTCCCTGACTGAATGGGCTGTAACGTTGGTGATTGATCAAGGCAGGTATCCCCACTATTCACCAGACACCAAGGGAAGACTGTCTTCCTGAGTCCATGACCGATTTTGGAGTTTTTGCGCAAGAGGGAGAGACCTGTCTCTCTATCTCTACACGGATAAACAGTGTCCCCTTTGTCTCTACTTAGGAGAAATAGTTAAAGGAAAAGACAGAGAGAGAGAGAGAGAGAGTCTTGTCTTCTTTTCTCTAAAGGAAAAGAAAGAGAGAGAGGGAGAGGCTGTTTACCCGATCTGAAGGTGGCAAGAGGATCGTTGGGCTGGTCTGATGCATTGAGGTGGCAGTTGGCTCTCTTCACAGAGAGAGAGTGGGGACAGGAGGTCAGTCACCCAAAGGACTACCCCTGTCCTGGCTTTTGGCACCAAATGTTACATGCACTGTGAATGAAGAGACCCCCTCAACAGGCTTTGTGTGAGCAACATGGCTGTTTATTCACCTGGGTGTGGATGGGCTGAGTCTGGAAAGTCAGTGGAGGGCAGTGGGATAGGAGTTGGTTTTATAGGTTTGGGGTAGGCAGTAAAAAGTTATAGAAGTTACAGTTCAGGGCAGCTCTTGCAAGCCAGGTTGGGGAGTGTTGCCGGGGGAGGGGTGTCACAAGGTACAAGGTCCAGTGTCACAAAGTTGGTTTATCAGTTAAGCCAGAACAATGGTGGAATGTCGCAAGGTTGATTAATCAGGCACTGCAGGAGCTACCTATTCTTACTTCAGACTCTCTGGCTCTGAGAGGGCATCTAAAGGTATTCCTGGGGATCACGGGGTTGCTATGACTCAACTTAGGGTATAGCCTATGGTGCAGCCAGTTCAAAGAACTTTTCAGGTAGGTCAGGTAATTTCTTTATGGCCAGTTTTTCCACAGAAAGGCAGAGAGAAAGAGTAATACTTTAAGGTTTCAAGACTGGCTTTAGGAGAAGGGTTCTGGTTTCTATGACTTGCCTTGGGGAAAAGGAATTCTAGTTTCTATGGCTACCTTGAGGGACTGAGAGATACGACGGCAGGAGGTCTGAGAAAAACTTCTGTTTCTGAGGCCCTCATTTTGGGGTACAGTTTTCCGAGTTTCAATACTAACGGGCATGCCCAAGTTTCACGAATACTGGTAAAAGATATGAGGCTCCTGGGTCTGAGGCAAAGGACAATACTAACAGCAATAATAGTCACAGTATTGTCATTTAGTCAGTTTCTGAGCCCTAATTCTTAGCAAGACTATGTGACAAAGGCCACAGCAGGTTGCATTATAGGAGAGGGACCTCAAGTTTAGGAAACTCAAATGTCTTATCATTGGAAGTAAGTCTGCCAGATCTTTGCTTGGAGAGACAAGAATTCTGCCTTGCAGGGCTATTCAATGCAAAAACATCCTTGAAAAGATAGTCGGAAAAATGCAGTTAGAGCCTCTGCTCTCTCAAGACATGCAGGAACATGACACAAGTGAATTGTCTTCCAACAGAACAGGAATGAAAGTGCATCATATGAAAAGTAGTCTGCATCTGAAGGCTGTAAAGTAATCAAACCAAAGCAGAAATGAGGATTTGGAGGAGCCATCCAGGCCTGCTATACCAGGCAATAATTGAGCATGGACTCTAGTTATCTCAGCTAACCTTTGCAAGAGTCCTCAATGTCACTGTTTTAATGGGGACTTGCCCATTAAAATGTAATATCTCTGAGATATCACAGCCATTTTACCCATGAGTAAACAGACTTGGAAAGACGATGGCTTGTTCACTTTTTCAACCACAGGACAAGAATCAGGTTTTCTCAGAGCTCTTCTGCCGCCTCACCTCTCTTGTTTCTCCCTACCGCAGGGGGCTGGAGGAAGACTGGCCAAAGTAAGTAAACGACTAACACAAGAGTGGCACGGGTCCTCAAAAAGGCGCTGCAAACCGTAAGTGGTGATTGCACTCATGGTGCTTTGAGACCCAGCCGCTACATCGGAAGCAGAAAGTTGGGATCTCTGGTTTCTCCTACCCGTGGGCCTGAGGTTCCCTGAGATTGGTTAAGGAAGGAGCTCCTTTTCCCATTTCCAGCCGGAAGTAGGTTTCCAATGACACGGAAGCCCTATCGGGCCGCCCAGGAGACCCTTCCGTGCTACCCAGGCCAGGGACCCGCCCGGACCTGAGCAGGCGGGGACTGCGGGCACAAGGCGGGCCCCGCTCTCCCAGGATTTCCCAGGCATAACGGAAGTGGGTGGGGCTCCTCTGAGCACCACCCCCGCACGATTGGCCAGCACGGCTGTCTCTCAGCTTTCTAGGGGGAGGGGCTGGGCGCTACTTACAACTAGGGCCGTGGGCGCGGGCTGCCAGTCGGGTGGGAGGCGCCGTAGCAAAAGTTCGGGGCACCGGTGCCGGTGGCTCGTGCCATGGAGCCGAGCCCCGACGCGTCCCCTGGGCCTTCCCGCTCCTTCAAGGAGGAGTTACTCTGCGCTGTCTGCTACGACCCCTTCCGCGATGCTGTCACTCTGCGCTGCGGCCACAACTTCTGCCGCGGGTGCGTGAGCCGCTGCTGGGAGGTGCAGGTGTCGCCCACCTGCCCTGTGTGCAAGGACCGCGCCTCGCCCGCCGACCTGCGCACCAACCACACCCTCAACAACCTGGTGGAGAAGCTGCTGCAGGAGGAGGCCGAGGGCGCGCGCTGGACCGGCTACCGCTTCCAGCGTGTCTGCCGCCTGCACCGTGGCCAGTTCAGCCTCTTCTGCCTCGAGGACAAGGAGCTGCTGTGCTGCTCCTGCCAGGCCGACCCCCGGCACCAGGGGCACCGCCTGCAGCCAGTGAAGGACACTGCCCACGACTTTCGGGTAAGAGCGGCGGTGTGGACGAGGCGGCCGAGCTGGGACTGGAACCCGGAACCCCTTGGCTCTACGGCTCCCGCCCCTCCTGCTTGTCAGAGCCCAGCGTGACTGTGTCTCTCTCGCTCTAGCATGCAGGACCCCATCTCTCTGACCGAGGTTCCCTACAGGGAGGGGCTGGCTTCTTTATCAAGGTGTACCTAGGGGCCCATGGTGGGAGAAGGGAGAATGCAAACAGAAAGTAAGAGCTGGGGTTATGGGATGTTCCCAAGACAGCGCCACCCACTTCTGAAGGGCCCAGGCCATTCACCACTTGTGCCAACCGGGTGTGGTCCAGGTCCCTTTAAGTAACATGGATGTGAGTGCAGCCCACGAGGCCTTGAGCTTGGCACCCTCAGTTGAGAAGTGGAGGAGGAGCCCCAGACTTGGCCAGGGATGTGGAGCCTTAAGATTTTCCCCAAACCAGTCACCTACTTGCCAAACTGACCCCACGGTTTGTATTATCTGTAGGGAGAGGCCTCTGGCCCTGGCTGGCTGGCTTATTCTGGTTTATCACCCAGCATCTCCATGCCTGGTGTTCTAGTGGCTATAAATAAACCCAGGAACAACTTACAGGGCAAAACTAACATGGAGAATTCTTTGGTATAGGAAGGAAAAATGAACAGAAAATAGGGGTTAGCCTAACTCAGCATTTTCCAAAACGTTTGTTCTTAGCCCATAGGAAGCAATGCATTTTCTCTTGTGACCCAGAACATATGTGTCAGTTGAAACAAAAGTTTTCTGAACAGTCCATAGTACTCTGGCATTTTCTGTTACTTTACCTTTTTTTTGTTTTTGTTTTTGAGACCTCTGCCACCCAGGCTGGAGTTCAGTGGTATGATCTCAGTTCACTACAACTTCTTCCCCGCCAGGTTCAAGAAATTCTGGTGCCTCAGCCTCCCCAGTAGCTGAGATTACAGGAATGTACCAGCATGGCTGGAGTAGCTGAGATTACAGGCATGTACCAGCACGCCCAGAGTAGCTGAGATTATAGGCATGTACCAGCATGCCTGGAGTAGCTGAGATTACAGGCATGTATCAGCATGCCCGGAGTAGCTGAAATTACAGGCATGTACCAGCACGCCCAGCTAATTTTGTTTTTAAAATTTCTAGTAAAGGTGAAGTGTCACCATGTTGGCCATGCTGGTCTAGAACTCCTGGCCTCAAGTGATTGGCCCTACCTCTGCCTCGCAAACTGCTAGGATTACAGGCATGAGCCACTCCACCCAGCCTGTTACTTTACTTTAAAAAATTACCCAGAATGTGAAACACTGAATTTATTTCCTCACCTGCTAATGCATGAACACTGGGCAGCTTGTCTGAAGCTGGATGGACTGGAAAGGAGGAGCTGCTGGAGTCCCCAGTGCCTGGTCTCTGGGCTCCTCTGTGGCCCTGCCTTCTTTTTTTTTGAGACAGAGTCTCACTCTGTCACCCAGGCTGGAGGGCAATGACAAGATCTCAGCTCCCTGCAACCTCCACCTCACAAGTTCAAGCGATTCTCCTGCCTTAGACTCCCAAGTAGCTAGGATTACAGGCATCCACCACTATGCCTGGCTAATGTTTTTGTATTTTTAGTAGAGACAGGGTTTCACCATGCTGGCCAGGCTGGCCTCAAACTCCTGGCCTCAGATGATCCGCCTGCCTTGGCTTCCCATAGTGCTGGGATTACAGATCTGAGCCACTGCGCCTGGCCCTGCCTTCCGGTTTTTTTTTTTTTACAATACTTTTTGTTGGATACAGAAGTCTGTTACCACTCCATACACATTTAACAAAGTTTAAGTGAAGAGTACACCTGTCTGAATGAGTAACCCTATTCTGTTAAGTTTTTTGCTTAACATGGGTCCATGTCATTCCTTTTTCTGTTTCCAGTGGCAGAAGTGGCAGATCCTGATTTGGGATAGCTGGAGTAAGTGCTGGCCAGCCTGGGGCCTGGAGCCCAGGAAAAGGAGGGATCATGGTTCAAGTCATGACTAATCCCTATAGGGTTGGCTGAGGTGCCAATTAGGAGATGGGCAGGGGTCAAGGCTGAGAACACCTAGGCAGAGCCCCCAGGTTGGGGTCAAGCCAGGATTCCAGAGCAGAGAGCCACACACCAGCAGATGCCAGGGATACTGCAGGAGGTAAGATAGACAATTTCCAGCCTCAGGGAGCTTCCAGCAGAAACCTGAGGGAAGAGGAGGTGTTAGCCAGGTGAAAGGATATTTCAGGTAGAGGCAGCAGCAATTGGAAGGGTCCAGAAGTGGGAAAGCCTGACTTTCCAGGTCCTGAGGGAATTTCAGGGTGGTTGGAATGAGGATGGAAGTGCAGGAGGATCCAGGAGGCCTGTGGCTCCCCCTTGCTGTGAACAGCAGCTGGGGGTTTTAGCAGAAGAATAGTGGTATTGGATCAGTGGACACCCAGGATGATGTCAGAGGGGCTGAGTAGTCTAGTCCCAAAAAGATCTGAGGAGAATGAGAGCTGGTCAGCCTGATGCAGGGTGCAAGTCACTCACATACTGGAGAAATGGGTATTGACAGCTGTTGCGTGCCATGGCCTCTTCCTAGCTTCGTGGAATTCTCATTTGAGCAGGGGGCGTAGACAGTCAATAGACAAGATGTAGTTCTGTGTGATTCGAGGTAGGTGGTTGTGGGGGAGCAGTATGGGAAGTTTCCCCCACCACTAGGTGCGAAGGGGCTAGGCGAGAAGCTGTGTGCCTCGAAGAGGGAGTTTTCCATTGTGTGCTGTGGGGAGCCCTGAAAGATTCTGAACGAGGGAGTTTGTGATGAGGTGTGTGCCTTAGACAAAGATTACTTTGGCCACTGTGTGAGAAACAGCAAAAATCAGAATTGTTCCAGCAAACACATTCAGTGCTCACTGTGTGCTAGATGCTTTCAAGTGTTCACACATCAACAAATTTAATGCTTACAAAAACTTATCATCAGGTCCTGTCTTAGTTTCCTGTTACTGCTGTAATACATGGCCACAAATATAGTGATTTAAAATAGCACAGATTTGTTCTCTTATGGTTCCGGAGGTCAGAAGTCCTAAAATCGAGGTGTCTGTAAGGCTACACTCCTTTTGGAGGCTCCAAGGGAGAATTTATTCCCTTGCCTGCTCCAGCTCTGAGAGGCTCCTGCCTCTGGCTCTCAGGTGCAGCATTCCATTCTGCGTCTGTTGTCACTTTGCCCTCTTTGACGAGTTCTGCTACCTCCACCTCCCTCTTGTGAGGACCCTATGATGACATTGGGCCCACCCAGGTAATCCAGGATAACCTCCCCATGGCAAGATCCTTAATTTAATCCACACAGTCCCTTTGCCATACAAAATAACATATTCACAGGTTCTGGGGATTAGAATGGGGACATCTTTTGGGGGAGATAATTATTCAGCTTGCTACAGGTAGGTACTATTATTCCCATTTTATAGACAATGATGTAATCATAGAGAGGGTAGGAAACTTGTCCAAAGCCACGGAGCAAGTAGTTTTAAAGGTCACCTGGAGCCTTGTTCAGTCTGCACTCCGGTCCTGGACTTTAAGAGAGAGGTTTCTCTCCTCCTAGACGTGTGTGGGCAGCTGACTGTGTGTTGGAGGTTTGTGTGGCTGTTGACCACTGTCACGGCTGGCAGAAGGTACTGGTTGAGTGCCTCCTGTGTGCCAGTACGGTGTGTCCAGGACAGGACAGTCCTAGACCTTGCCTTTGTGGGCATAGTTGTATCATCTCACTAATAGTTAACATAGTTTCAGCTCGATGTTCCTGTGAAGGACAGTACAGGATGCAGTGGGAGACTGTCAGGGAAGGCCGCTCTTGTTTGGTGGGGCATGGGAAGGAGTCTCCAAGGAAGTGATTTTGCTGAGATGAGCTGATTGAGGGGTGGCCAGCAGTGAGGGGGGTACAGCATGGGGGTGGGCAGTGACGGAGAGACGCTTCATGTGGGGAAGAGGGAGTGCAGGACAGATCCCACAGGACACTGAGGGCCGTGTTCAGGAGCTGGGATTTTGTCGTAAGTGCAGTGGCACATGATGGAAGGACTGATGAGATTTAGCAAGGAACAGTGCTTAAAAAGACCTTATGAAATCCTAGTACAGCGTTTCTCAAACTTGAACAAGTATGCGTTCTTGTTAAAGGAAAAAATAGTCCAGCAGTGAGAGTTAAATTACTTTAACATTTACATGCATACAAATGCAAAACTGGTAATAAATAGCACTTGCTCACACCACATATAAGCAATAAAAACAAAAGAAGTAAACAGATTGGATACAAAACTTAAATCAATAACATTCCACTCAGAATATTAATCCTAAAGTTTTATTTTGCTGGAACGAAATCTCTACTCCTGGCCAAGGTACTTCTGATTCTCCCATTACTCTGTTTCAAGTGATAACTTAATCCACCCAAATTTCTCTGAAGAGCTATAGAGCTTTCTTGAGATGGGACTGGCTTTCATTTGGGTCCGGCACATTCTCTACCTGCTATGTGTATTTCTCTTCTTACCAGGACAAGACAATGAAAGTGGTATGACTTGATATCAAGTAAGCTGTAAAGAAAAGACGAATGCTGGATGGGCGCAGTGGCTCACGCCTGTAATCCCAGCACTTTGGGAGACCGAGGTGGGCGGATCACGAGGTCAGGAGTTCAAGACCAGCCTGGCCAGCATGGTGAAACCCTGTCTCTACTAAAAATATAAAAATTAATCAGGCATGGTGGCATGTGCCTGTAATCCCAGCTACTTGGGAGGCTAAGGCAGGAGAATTGCCTGAACCCAAGAGGCAGAGGTTGCAGTGAGCCAGGTCGTGCCACTGCCCTCCAACATGGGTGACAGAGCAAAACTCCATCTCAAAAAAAAAAAAAAAAAAAAAAAAAAAAAAAAAAAAGAGAGAGAAAACACAAATGCTTGTGCTGAAGTTGTAGGAACTGAAAGCATGTATCAGCACCGTTTCTGCCGTGACTTGGAGTAGCATTGTCTTAGTATTGTTTGAGGTTGCCATTACACAAAAACATCCCCAGACACAGACCCACAGGGGACTTGTGACGAAGTGGTTATATCTCAGTAATAAGAAGTGGATCTCATACCTGTAATCCCAGGGCTTGGAGAGTCTGAAGCAGGAGGATTGCTTGAGGCCAGGATTTCAAGATCCTGCACCAAAGCAAAAAAAAAAAAAAAAAATTAGTGAGCATGGTGGCACACACCTGTAGTTTCAGCCACTCGAGGGTAGTAGGGAGATGGGGGACACTCAGGGCTGAGATGGGAGGATTGCTTGAGGCCAGGCATTCAAGGCTGCAGTGACCTATGACTGGGCCATTGCATTGCAGCCTGGGCAACAGAGTGAGGCCCTGTCTCTTACATAAATAGATAAATAAAGTACTAGGATAAGAACACAGGTTTCCTGCCTCCCAGTCCAGAGCTCTCGGGCTCTGTGCTGAGCTGCTTGTCCAGACCCTTGTCTTATCCATCTCGCAGGACTGGCATGATGGCCATTCTTTGCCAGCAGACTCTCCCTGGTCCCAGCTCCAGTCCTCTCTCCCCCTTTGCAGTCAACATCTTAGAGTCCCTCCGGCTGGATCTAACCTGAAGATACTCTCGATACCTCTTAAGCCACATTCCAGGTGATCTGCCTGCCTCGGCCTCTCAAAGTGCTGAGATTACAGGCATGAGCCACCGTGCCCGGCCTCAAATTATTATTTTTTTCTTAAGAAAAAATTTGAAAAGCTTTCTGAGAATGTAGATCGAAAGGATAAAGAGGGAGAGAAAATGATAGACCTCCGTCCGATACCAGAGGCAGGAATCCAACCTAAAACGCTGCAGCGGTTCTTCAAGGAGTCCAAGAACAACAGAAACAATAATTAAAGTTTAAGAAATGAAAACTACTAAACGAAAAATATTTGTGGCTGCTGATTAAAGTATTCCACGCGATCCAGGCAGTGTTAAAATGTCAGGGTGTGGGAGGGGCATGGATGGAGGGGCGTGTTGAGGTTAAGGCCTCATGGGAGGTAACTGAACCCCATGGGAAATGACTGGCTATATACCCATTGTCAGTCACTGCACATTAGCGATTGCAGACCCATCCGGTTAAGGAAATTGCAAAGGGAACCTGTGACCACACTGTCTGCAGTTGTCCACACAGCTCAGGGATTCAGAGCCAGCATGGACCAGCTTTAGGCTCGCCTAGGACACTCTTCTAACCTGTGTGGTAAGCACCATGAGAGAGAGCAGGTTGCTTTTCCTCAGCCCCATCTCCCAGTCTGTACCAGGCTGGGCTAGAGGATGTCCGAGGGCCCTTTATCTCACAGACGTACGTCTGATTCAGGATCGGGACCGTACTTAGCATTTGTCTGTGATCACAGCGCGTGGCATGGGTGGGGTTCAGCAAATGCAGCTGAGTTACACTTGTGTGGAAGTGGTGTTCCGATTGGAAATGGGATGTGTCTGCCCTCCCTGCCCGGCCTCCAGCCCTAACCTGCCTTCCTGCCTCCTTCTCATTCCCACGTCAGGCCAAGTGCAGGAACATGGAGCACGCTCTGCGGGAGAAGGCCAAGGCCTTCTGGGCCATGCGGCGCTCCTATGAGGCCATCGCCAAGCACAATCAGGTGAGTGAATGATGGGGCTGAGTGGGGAGACTGGGGACACTCAGGGCAGCTGGGGAGTAGCAAAGATGCGTCGGCCCTGGCTTTGGTTCGCATAAGCTGCCAGGTAGAGGTGGCCTGCCTTTCCTCTGATGGTCCTGTGCAGCCGCATCCTGGACACTGACCGTGGCTCCTCTGTCTTGGCATCTCTACAGACCCAGGTGTGGTCATGCCAGCAGCCACAGGAGTGACTTAAAAAGCTACCAACACCATCTGTGCTATGGCGTGTGCGTTGTACCACCGCCACCTGGGTGTTCAGTGATGACCTGGGGTTCATTAATTTCTTGTTTTCTCTCAGTTCCCACATGCACTCCATCATCAGGCCTATTCCCCCATCTGCAAAATATGTTATTTCTGTCGAACTCTCCACCTCCTGGTCCAGGTCACCATCCTCTCTCACTGGGCCTCCTGCCTGGACTTCGTGCTTCCCTTCTCGTACATTCTGCTTTCCACAGACTGGGGCAATCATGTAGAAAAAGACACCAGCTCTGCTCCTTCTCTGCTTAAAACCGCCAGTGGCTTCCAGTCACCCTCAGTACCACCCAGATTCCTTACCCTGGTCTCCAAGGCCATCGCCTGACCCCGCCTGTCCTCAACCTCATTTGCTTCTCTCTCTCACCTTCTTTCTGTCCCATAAGCAAACTAAGTCTTCTCCCCAGAATGCACACCCAATATCTTTGCCATTAAAATCTCAGCTCAGATGTCCCCTTCAAGAAGCTTTTCCTGATCACCCTCTTCTTTTACTCGATGGCATACTTCTTGGTTTATTTGATGACACTCCATTACCTGTGATTTCCTTTTATTTTCTATTTGCTTTTTATCCCCTCCCATCGGAATATAATGAAAACAGGGCACACTATTGCCACTTATCTAGAGGAGTTCTTGGCACACAATAGGTGACCAATAAAAATGTTTGTTGATTGAATGAGTGAAGTGGGTAAGTGACCAGTAACTGTTAATCAAATGAATGAATGGGCTCCCTCTGTCCCCGCTCTGATTGTCCTACCTGGCACCCTTTCTTCTTCTGGGTCCTGTGTGGATTGGCAACCTTGTTTCTGACTGTTGATCTCGGCTCTGGTCTTTCACTTTCTGAGGTGGCTGCTTCTAGTATTTACCATCTGTTAGACTCATCCTGGCCACAGCTGAGCCACACCTGGTCTGGGTTGCTGGACGCTGTCCTCAGGAGCCTGTAGTTCCCTCCATCGTATGTCCATGGGTGAGGTTTAGGCCCAGGGAAGAACCTCATCAACATCCAGGCCCAGAGCTTACCCTGAGCCACAAAGCTGGTGGAACAAAGTGGAAGAAAGGATTATGGGACAGTCTGGGCACCAGGGCAGTAACCATGACCAGGGCAGACCCATTTCCAAATCTAAGCCCAGTTCTCCCACCAAATCCCTCAGCCCCCTCCAAGCTAATCCCCTCCTCTGTGAAAAGAGGGCAATTCCCTCTTACTAGGATTTTTAAAAAGCATTCTGATAAGATAATACATGTAAGTGCCCAATGGAGAGAAGTCATTAACATTTCTGCTGTCTAATAGACCCACAAACTGGCGGGAGAGAATTTTCACTTTTTCAGTGGCTTATTTTGTCATCATATGTCAGAGCCACAAATATATGTTGAAATATCAACTCCAAATAGAGATTACAAACCTGCCGTTGCTGTAGTTCATTGAGTCATTTTCCAGTAGTTGTCATGGAGTCCTGTAACTTTATCATTGTTGGCTTACTTGGTTTCCCTTTGTGGCTAAAGCCATGTGACTGGCTTGCCTTGTACAGGACTGGGTTGGGAATACTTAGGGAGCATGTCTGTCCAAGTGACAGCACTGCCTGCCCATCCCAGGGAGTGCAGGAGTCCCAAGCTTTTTGCTGAGGCTTAGGGTAAGAGATCACATGGGAAGCCCCAAAGATTCCAGCTTGATTAATGCTTTTCCTGTTAAATTCGGTTAATCAGATTGATGGAAAAGTGACAGTTCTGGTGCTTATTCCTTTACAGTGAGGCTGTCATTGCCACGGTGAGTGGGCAGGAGTTGACCTTGCACCTGCTGGTTTCTTCTGCCATGCTCTGTTCTTGATCTTTCTGTGCGATAAGAATTATCGGGGAGAGGAAGAGCATCAGGATAAATAGCTAATGCATGTGGGGCTTAATACCCAGATGATGGGTTGATCTGTGCAGCAAACCACCATGGTGCACATTGACTTATGTAACAATAAGTAAATACCTGCACATCCTGCACATGTATCCTGGAACTTAAATTTTTTAAAAAAGAGAATTACCCTGGATTCTACTCTCTCCCGCGCAGACGTTATCAGTCTTTTCAGCCCGATACATTAACCATGCTGTTTGTTCCTCATTTGCATTTCTTTGATTATTGGTAAGTTTGTACATGTTTTCACAAGTATAATAGTCATTTATGTTTCTTCTGTGAATGCTAATTCACATTCCTTTTTTCCCTTGGAATATTTGTCTTTTAGAGGATTTGTAAGAGTGCTCTGTACATTAAGAATAATATCAATTTCTCATAAATGTTGCAAATACATTTCCTAGTTTGTCATTTCTTTTTCAGCGGATCATTTTCACTTTTGGAGGGCCGTTTTCACTTTTTCAGTGAATCCTTTTGTCATCGTTATTTTCAGAGCTGTAAACGTACAAACAATCCCTGGCTTATAAGTTTTGGTTTTACCGTTGTGCAAAAGCAATACACATTCAGTAGAAACTATGCTTTGAGTACACATACAAACATTCTGTTCTCCCCCTTTAGTCTAGTAAACAATAAATTACATGAGACGTGCAATGCTTTATTATAACATAGGCTTTGTGTTGGATGATTCTGCCCAACTGTAGGGTAATGTAAGTGTCCTGGGCACGTTTAAGGTAGGCTAGGCTAAGCTATGATTTCTTAATAGGTTAGGTGTATTCATTGCTTTTTTGATTTAATAGTTTTTCAACTTATGATGGGTTTATTGGGATGTAACCCCATATTAAGTTGAGGAGCATCTATATTTAACTTTCAGTCCAAAGATGAGATTACTAACCTGCTATTACCACAGCACACATCTTGAATTGTTTTTCTAACAGCTGTCATGGAATTTTTGTCTTCAACTCTATGAATAGTCTCTTACAATACACACTTCTTATTTTTCTGTGCATTCAGTTATCTCATTGTCTCTTGGAGGCTTCTCAATTTCATACTTTGCTAAGGAATGCCTTTCTTATTCTAAGCAGAGAAATATTTATTTGCTTTTTCTTTGAGTACTTTTATGGTTTTATTTTTTAACCACCTTTTTATGGTTAAGATTTAGAGTATGTATGGTTATTCTAATGATTTTTTAAAATGAATACTTCCTACCGCTCCTTTGGTAAAGCTTCTGGATCAGACAAATTTTAAGTCCTAAGATTGGAAGGCAAATACTTTTTTAAAAAATCATTGCTATTTGCAGCCATTTATTTCTATGATTCAGGACTTCCCTGGTTATGGTGCAACCTAAAGAAGGAACTGAACGTTGTATGTAGGTGAGATGATAGTACTACAGTTGACATCTAGAAGCAGTGATGTTATTTTTAAAAACCCTGTCAAAACAACCTATTATTAGGTTGTTGAACTTGGCCATTTGAAATCTGAACTTAGAAATGTGTGCTAATAAACTATTACGTTGGTATTTTACCTATAGGGGTTCTGTACATGATTTCTTTGAACATAAAATTCCTTTGTAAAAATGGGAAAGTTGCTGGGCTCTAAAGGTTCTGTCCACATCTGAGCCCTGCCTCCCTCTGCTCTCTGCTGTAGGTGGAGGCTGCGTGGCTGGAAGGCCGGATCCGGCAGGAGTTTGATAAGCTTCGTGAGTTCCTGAGAGTGGAGGAGCAGGGCATTCTGGATGCCATGACCGAGGAGACAAGGCAGAAGCAGCTTCTGGCCGAGGAGAAGATGAAGCAGCTCACAGAGGAGACAGAGGCGCTGGCACATGAGATCGAGCGGCTGCAGATGGAGATGAAGGAGGATGATGTTACTTTCCTCATGGTAAGGAGCTCAGTGTCTGGATTCAGTGACAGGGCCAGATGTTCTGGGACCAGCTGGGAGTCACAGCCCACCAGCCCTGGCCAACCTCATGTTCCTGGAGCTTCCTGGGTACTGGCCTGGAGGAGCTCACAAGTGAACTGCTATGCTCATGTCACGAAGCTCCAAAGACTTACCAGGGCACAGTTCCTTGAAAGCCTCTTATTTCTTCCTCTCTCTTCTTTTTTTTTTTTAAGACAAGGTCTTGCTCTGTCAACCAGGCTGGAGTACAGTGGGTGATTATAGCTCAATGTAACCTCAGACTCCTGGTCTTGAGTGAACCTCCCTCCTTAGCCTCCTGAGTAACTGGGACTACAGGCACGAGCCACCATGCCTGGCTGATTTTTTTCATTTTTTAAGAGTCAGGTGGCAATGAGGGGAGGTTTCACTATGTTGCCCAAGCTGGTCTTGAATTCTTGGCCTCAGGTGATGCTCCCACCGAGGCCTCCTGGGTGGTTGGACTACTGGCGCACCACTGTGCTCAGCTCCTCCCTGTTCTTTCTTCCTTTCTCTTGCCCCCTCTCTTACTCTCATTTTTTTTCTGTTTCTACCTTTTAATAAAATGAATTCTTTTAAAATTATTCAATTATTTAAATTGTTTTATTTAAATATGATGCCTTGGCATTCTGTCTTCTTAAGGATGATTCTATTCTCTCTTTTAAAAAAAAGCATTGTTCATTTTTTTTTTTCCTTTTCTTGATTTATTTCCTCCCCATGAGCCATTGGTCCTTACCAATTTCCTACAGGGAAATTTCTGGGCTTGAAAGCTGGTCTGTAAACTGGCCAGGGTGGCGAGGTGTCTCCTGTACCTGGAAAACAGCTGACTGCTCTGGAAGAGGGGTTGCTGTGGAGTGGAGTGGGTGGTGGCAGGCAGGTGTCATCTCCTGGGTGGGACCTTTAGGAGTTCTCCACCGCACTTAAGGCCTTGAACCATGAAGTCTCCTGTCTCCAAAATGTCCTCGATTATAAAATCATTCTGTGTTCAGAGCTGTCTCTGAAAAGAAAAATGAAGAAAAAAAAATAAGAAAAATAATTTTGTGGGATCTAAAAGATGTGTTTCTCGTGGATTCTGTTTAGGGAATTGGGAGTGTTGTCTTGCCCGGTACCCAGAGTGCTTTGAAGAATGATTTGATTTGTGTCTCTTTTTAATTTTTTACTAAGTTTATTGTGATATAATTTATATGCTAAAAAACTCAGTCATTTAAAATATACCACTGAGTGATTTTTATTATATACTGAGTTATACAACCATCACAACAATTTTAGAACATTCCATGCCTCCAAAAGCGGCTGTGCTTTAGCTGTCACTCCACAGTTCCTCCTCCCCAGCCCCTGGCAACCACTAAGCTACATACTATTTGTATAGATTTACCTATTCTAGACACTTCAAATGCATGGAATTATATAATATGTAACCTTTCATGGCTGCCTTCTTTCACTCAGCATATTTTGAAACTTCATTCATGTTGTATGTAGCATCTATCAGTACTTCATTCCTTTTTACGGCTGAACAGTATTCCATTGCATAGACATACAATTATGCATTGCTTAATGATGGGGATATGTTCCGAGAAATGTCTTGTTAGGCAATTTTTTCATTATGCAAATGTCAGAGAGTGTGTTTACACAAACCTGCATGGTGTAGCCTACTACACACCTAGGTTATATGGAATAGCCTCTTGCTCCTAGGCTACAGACCTGTACAGCTTGTTGCTGTATGGAATACTGTAGGCAACAGGAACCAACTGTGAAGTATTTGCATATCTAAACATAGAAAAGGTACAGTAAAAATACAGTCTTATACTCTCGTGGGACCACAGTCATATATGCAGTTCCTTGTTGACTGAAACGTTGTTATGTTGCACATGGCTATATTGCATTTTATTTATTGATTGATCAGTCGGTGGTTGCTGTGGTTTGGTGGTTTGAGTATGTTCCTCAAAATGTATGTGTTGTAAACTTAATTCCCAATACAACAGTGTTGGGAGTTGGAGCCTAATAAGAGGTGATTGGGTCATGAGAACCCTCATGAATGGGTTAATGTTGTTATTGGCAGAGTGGGTTAGTTATGGAGAGAGGGGGGCTTGTTATGAAGTGAGTTTGGACCCTCCTTGCTCTCTTACTTTTGGTCTTACGTGTGGTCTCTTGCCCTTCCTACTTCTGCCATGGGATGGCACAGCATGAAGGCTCTCATCAGATGCCAGTGCCATGCTCTTGGACTTCTCAGCTTCAGAACCACAAGTCAAACAAACTATTGTTTATAAATTACCCAGTCTGTGGTATTTTGTTACAGCAACACAAAATGAACTAAGACAGTGGTCATTTGGGTTGTTTCTGTTTTGGCTATTATGAATTATAAGGCTATGATTATTCAGATAGCAATTTTTATGTGGACATGTTTTTATTTTTCTTGGAAATATATCTGGGAGTAGATTTCCTGGATCTTATGGTAACTCTAGGTTTAACTATTGGAAGAACTGCCAGGCCGTTGTCCAGAGCAACTGTATCATTTTATATTTTCATCAGGAGTGTATGAGGATTCCAGTTTCTCCACATCTTTGCCAAAATTTATTTTTTAAAAATTATAACCAGGCAAGGCATGGTGACTCATGCCTGTAATCCCAGCACTTTGGGAGGCCAAGGTGGGTGGATCACGAGGTCAGGAGATCAAGACCATCCTGGCTACCACGGTGAAACCCAATCTCTACTAAAAATACAAAAAAAAATAGCTGGGCATCATGGCTTGTACCTGTAATCCCAGTTACTCGGGAGGTTGAGGCAGGAGAATCACTTGAACCTGGGAGCTAGAAGTTGCAGTGAGCTGAGATTGTGCCACTGCACTCCAGCCTGGGCAATAGAGTGAGACTCCATCTCAAAAAAAAAAAAAAAAAAAAAAAGGAAAAAATTAGCCGGGCATTTGTGGTATTCTCATACCACAATGAGAAGTGGTATCTCATTGTGTATTGTATTTCATCATTTCCCTGATGGCTAATGACTTGGAACAAATTGTTATGGGCTTTCGGATCACCATAGATGTTCCTTGGACAAATGTCTATTCAGATTCTTTGCCCATTTTTAACTTGGGTTGTCTTTTTATTGCTGAGTTGTAAGAGTTCTTTATATATTTTAGACACAAGACCTTTGTCCGTTTTAGCTTTACATGTAGGTGTTTGATGAATTTTGAGTTATTTTTTGTATATGGTGTAGTAAGGGTTGGTCCAACCTCATTTTTTTTTTTTTTTTTTTGCATGTCAACATCAACATCTAGTTGTCCCAGTACTATTTGTTGGAAAGACTATTTATTCCTCCATTAAATTGTCTTGGCACTCTTGTAAATAACTGATTGATGGAAAATATGAGGGTTTATTTCTGGACTTTGATTTCTATTCCATTGATCTCAATGCCTGTACTGATATTAGTGCCATACTATCTTGATTACTGTTGATTTGTATTAATTTTTGAAATGGGGATTATGAGTCTTCCAATGTTGTTCTTTTATTTCAAGATTATTTTAGCTATTCTGGTTCCCTCGAAATTCCATGTGAATTTTAGGATCAGCTTTTTAGTTTCTGCAAAGAAGCCAGCTAGGATAAGGGATCACACTGAATCAGTAGATCAACTTACGGAATGTCTTCGTATGTTTTTTGTTGCAATAGCACAACATCACAGACTGGGTAAATTATAAACAATACAAGTTGATTCAGCTCATTGTTCTGGGTGAGGCCAGGAAATCCAGGAGCATGGTGGCTCTGGCATTTGGTGTGGGTCATCTCATGGCAGAAGGAGGGAGTGAGTGTCCAAGACAGAGTAGTCGCTCATTGCTTCATAGCAGCCCAGGCTCATGATAATGAAACCGCTTCACAGTAATGACATTCAGCCATTGGTGAGGGCTCTGCCCTCATGATCCAGTCGCCTCTTTTTAGGACCTACCTCCCAACACTGTCACGTTGGGGATTCAGCGAACTTTTGGATAATATGCTCAGATCATAGCAGGGATGTTACTGTTAACGTCTTGACAATATTAAGACTTATAATCTATGGAATGCATGACTCCTTTTGAGGTCAAAAACGTATAGATTTCCTCTACATTTGTGTCTCTGTGTTTTTTTTTGTTTTGTTTTTTGTTTTCCAGAAACATAAGGGCCGAAAACGCCGGTAAGTTGCCAAAGCTGTTGGAGGGGAGGGGAAAGAGCGGGCAGAAACATAAGGGGTGCGAACTCCAGTGGGCCTGGGCCAGGCAGGGAACAGCTAGCTGGGTGCATCAGCCCACATGAGCTACTGTGCCCTGGTTTTAGAGGGTGTGGTGGGCAATGGGCAAGTGGAGAGAGGCCTCTCACAGCATCCAATTCCAGTTGGCTCTGGGGCAGTGTTGTTCTTCTGAGTGTGGAGGATCCCCACCTGCCATGCAGGGAAGGAGAGCACCATCCTGCACGTGGCTCGAATTCCCAGGGGGACAGCCAGTGTCAGGTCAGCCCCCTTGATCTCAGAGCCTTAGGTCACAATGGTTTGTCTTAATGGTTGTTGGGTTCACAGGGATGAATGAGAAGGAACTGTGTCTTAGTCCGAGCTTTCTAAAAATGGAAGAGAGTGCTTTTGGGGGGCGTGAGTTCCCTGTGCCCACTTCCCTTTGGTGGTGTGCAAGCAAGGGCCAGAGGACACCTAGGAACTGTTAGGCTAGAGCATCCTTAGTGTCCCTTCCAACCCAGACATCCTATGAGCAGGAAGTGTAAGTGTGACTTCTGCCTGCAAGGACGGCAACCCTGTTGGAGATCTCCTGTTTGGAGTTCTGGTAGTTGGGGCAGGTGAGCCCTTGGCCTGATTTCTGAAGAAGGCAGCGGCCCATTGGCCTTGGCCCATCTCCTATCAGGGCCCAGTCCAGTCTTGTCTTGGGGAAGGTGGCCGGGAAACGTGGCTGAGGGCAGAGAACAAGTCCTGTTCCTGGTTTCCAGTGAGCCCAGTTCGGCCTGGGATGCATGGTGCTGGCTCTGCCCACCATACCCCGTTGTGCTTTTCCAGACTCTTCTGCACCATGGAGCCCGAGCCAGTCCAGCCCAGCATGCTTATCGATGTCTGCAAGTACCTGGGCTCCCTGCAGTACCGAGTCTGGAAGAAGATGCTTGGATCTGTGGAATGTGGTGAGCGGGGGTGTGGGCAGGTGTCCCAAGCAGGGTGGAAGCCCTCAGGTTAGCAAAGAGCCACCAGGGCTGGTCTCTGCAGGGCCCACCTCCCACCTCGTCAGAGCTCCCCTCCTCTCTCAGCTGATCCCTCTGCCAGTCCCTCATAGGCAGGTTCCCGTGTCCTGGTCTTCTCCACTCTGCCCAACACCTCCAAACCTTCCTCTCAGGGCCCTGACACTTGGTCCCCTCTTCAGAGAGGGAAGCTGGCTTGTCTATTCAGAACTGTATTTTGTATGATAAAAGACCTCCATCCAGGATCACCTCTCCCAAGGTGACTAGAGCCACAGGAGCCACTGTGTCCCAGTTTTACAGGGAGGAATATCATTGACCCGGGAAATGGTCCATGCTGTCCTAACATCCGTGGGTTATGGGACTGTTACAAGTCTCTGCCTATATGAGTTCCTGTGGCTGCCATAATGAAGGACCACAAACTGAGTGGTTTAAAATGACAGAAATGGACTCTCTCACAGTTCTGGAGGCTAGAAATCCAAAATCCAGATGTTGGCAGGGCCAGGCCCCCTCTGAAACCTGTAGAGGAGAATCTTCACTCCTTCATAGGAGATGTAATAGTTGTTCGCCCACCATGCCCGGCCTGTCTCTCCTTTTTGTAAGGACATGGCTGATACTGGATTGGGGACTGTCCTCCAGTTTTCATCTCTACTAATACCTCTACAACCGCCCATTCTTAAATGAGATCACACTCTGAGGTACCAGGGGTATGGACTGCCACATATCTTTTGGACTGGGGCCAGGTGAGACACAGCGGTTCGTTTGCGGGGCTGCAGACCTAGACGCTGGCCTAACAGGCCTCAGGGTTGCTGATTCCCCATTTCCGCCTCTGCTTGCAGTGCCCTTTACCTTTGACCCCAACACCGCAGCCGGCTGGCTCTCCGTGTCCGAGGACCTTACCAGTGTCACCAACCACGGCTACCGCGTACAGGTGGAGAACCCGGAGCGCTTCTCCTCAGCGCCCTGCCTGCTGGGTGCCCGCGTCTTCTCGAGGGGCTCGCACGCCTGGGAGGTGGCCCTGGGGGGGCTGCAGAGCTGGCGGGTGGGGGTGGTGCGTGTGCGCCAAGACTCAGGCGCCGAGGGTCACTCGCACAGCTGCTACCACGACACGCGCTCGGGCTTCTGGTATGTGTGCCGCACACAGGGCGTGGAGGGGGACCACTGCGTGACCTCGGACCCAGCCACGGCACCCCTGGTCCTGGCCATCCCACGCCGCCTGCGTGTGGAGCTGGAGTGTGAGGAGGGTGAGTTGTCTTTTTATGATGCGGAGCGCCACTGCCACCTGTACACCTTCCACGCCCGCTTTGGGGACGTGCGGCCCTATTTCTACTTGGGGGGTGCGCGGGGAGCTGGTCCCCCTGAGCCTTTGCGCATCTGCCCTCTGCACATCAGCATCAAGGAAGAACTGGATGGCTGAACTGGCCCAAGCCTGCTGGCGGCTGCCCAGGTCTTGTGCCACCGCACTGTTTTCTTTCTGCCCCCTTCCTAATGCCACACTGCCTGGGCGCCACTGTGCCCCGCCTCGCCAGGCTCTTCCTTTTGTCCCCTCTGGTCCTTTTCAGTGACTCCAGGCCACGCCTCTCTCCATGTTTGGTCCCTTCTCAGCCCACGGTCAGGAGCCATCATGTGGCACCTCGCTGGCCAGGCTCTCCCGAGTCGTGGCACCTCCACAATGTGAATTTTCTGAATCCTCATTCCAGGACTTCTGGGAATAATGTTTACTTCTAGAATGGGCCAGTTTTAAACCATCTCATCCAGGTGTGGTAAAGCCAGTGGCTGAGGAGAGGACTGCCCTGCAAAGGAGAGTTTGTTACTCATGGTTCTGGGAGGAGGGGCCACATAGGAAAGCCCCAGGGTGTGTCAGAAGGTGGAAGGAGGGAGTGGAATGTGTGTGCAAGAGACTTCACTGTGGTTTTCTCAGGAAGCAATGGGCAAGGCAGGGTAAGCAGGGAAGACAGGTTTAGGGGTAGCTGGCTTGAGTAACTCAGTGGCTCTCGGCATAGGGGCTGCCTTCTTTGTCTGATACCTCTCCCCGGGATAATCAGGACGGGAGAGCCACGCGAAGGAGGCAGCTGGTGCTATTGCTCCGAATTCGATGGTTTCCATAGGAGAGGCTGCTCTCAGCCCGATGCTTGCTGTCTGTAGGGACTGGGGGATTGGCTAGCCGGGGAGGAGCAGTCTGTCCAGGTCAGCGTGGCCTGGATGCCAGAGCATCAAGAGTACAGGAGACAAAGTTACTGCAGGGCCTCTGCGTGACTGAATCCCCTCTCTCCATCAGATCAGCTCTGATTGATCTATTTATACCTGCACGGTTTCCTCTGAACGCAGGCTTCCAGAACACCTTCAACACAACGTTTTTAAAATCGTGGTTTGGCCTGTTCCCTTGCTGGGCCCCAGTTTCCCCACCTGGAAATGAGATAGGACTGGATGAGGATGTCTTGCTGTAGTTGCTGTGGAGGAAATTCCTCTGGTTCATTCTCATCAGCATTTGCAAAAAGGAAAGAACGAGGGCACCCTTTTCAGTTGGGAGGAAAGGAGAGGGGTGGCACCGTGGACGTGGCCCTAGACGCTGCGGGAGAGGGAAGAGGAGGCTGGGCCTTGCTGCCTTCTTGTCTCTGCTGACTTCAGCCAGCTCATGCTCACTCTGCCACTTGTGATTTCATCCCGAATTTCTTCCTCCGCCGTGCCTGCCACCCTCTTGTCTCTGCTGACTTCCGCCAGCTCATGCTCGCTCTGCGCCTTGCGATTGCATCCCAGATTTCTTCCTCCGCGGTGCCTGCAGACTTTCCTGGGCTTGTTTTTTCTCCTGCATCTCTCAAGAGAGTTTTTAATCGTCAACTCACCGTGTCCCAGGAAGTGGCATCATAAAAGGATTTTTTTTTTTCCTAAAAGCAGTGTTAAAATTGGGGTCACATTCTTGACCAAGGACTCTGCATCCCACCTCCTGCCCATTCCGGTTCACAAAAACTGACATTTTAAAAAATCATGACTCACACCTGTCAGTTGGTTATCAATGTGTTGTGTACACTGGTTACATAAAAGTTAGGGCTACAAGGAGGGCCCAGGTAGGAGCTGCCAGTGTGTGAAGGGGCTGGGTTAGGTGTGGTGATAATGTTGGAAAATCAGTGCATGCACCTGGTTGGAGGATGCCCAGCCTCAGAAAAGCTCCAAGCCCTTTGGGAGCCAATGCATCCGGGAGTGTGACTTTCTCTATAAGAGAAAGTATTTACCCTACCCATCAATATCATTTTGATATAATAAACTTGACCTGAAATTATTTCATTAGTTATATTAAACTTTTAAAAATGTTTTGTTTATTTTCACCTTACGTATTGGAAGAGTTTTTGTTTTTAGACAGGATAATTTGAGCAGGCTAGGCCTCTTGAAAAAAACAAAAACCAAAAATGATGTTTAAGCTAAGACTCTTTTTCTTTTGGCATTTCCTTTTCAGTGTTATAAGCAACATTCAACCATGTTGTAGCATGTGTTCAACTGTATTTTTTTGTCGGCTAATATTCCATTGTATGGGATGACAGTACTGCATTTTATTTATCATGCATCCGTTGGCGGCCATTTGGGTTGTTTCTACTTCTTGACTATTACACATAATGCTGCTAGAAACATTTATGTATGAGTTTCTGCATGGACGTATGTTTTCGTTTCTCTTTCGTATATGCCTCGGAACAGATTTGCTGGATCACGTGGAAACTGTGTAACCCTTGAGGAACTCCCAAGCTGTTTTCCAATGTGGCAACACAATTTTATATCCAACAGGGTATGAGAATTCTGATTATTCAACATCCTTCAATGCTTTTTATTATCCGTCTTTTAGCCCTCCTAGCAGGGGTGATGTGTTACCTCATTGTGATTTTGGTTTGTATTTCCCTGATGGCGAATGATACGAGCATCTCTTCATGCGCTTCTTGGCCATTTGTATATCTTCTTAAGACAACAATGTTTAAATCACTTGCTCATTTTTTAATCGAGTTATTTGCCTTTTTATTATTGAGTTGTAAGAATCCTTTTATAGCCAAGCACAAGTCCCTTTATCAGGTATATGATTATAAAATTTTCTCTGTGAGCTGTTTCATTTCCTTGATGATGTCCTTTGAAATACTAAAGCTTTAAATTTTGATGATGTCCAGTTTTTATTTATTTTTTCTTTTGTCGTGTGTGTATCCTGGAAATCTCACTTTTGATACTTACATATATTGTTAAGTTCACTAACAATCTCACATATGTTAAGTTCTGGATTTTGGCTCAGGGATGGGGCAGTTGCTCTGTCGGCCGGAAGCCCTAGTCCAAGGGCTGAATTCTCCCCTGAAGCCCTCTCCTGCCCTTGCCTTCCACTCACCCCCATCATTCCCCTCCTCATGACTGTGTCCAGACTCAAGGCAGCAGTGCCCTGGGAAGCCCCCCATTCTCCAGTTTCTCCCACTTTTGCATCATCCCACATGCACCATTGTTCATGTTCCCATCACCCAGAGGGACCCCACTTCCAACCCGCTCCAGTGCCTTTCTCCATGGCGGCTCTCAGGGTGTATTGTCACTGGGCTGTCCCTTTATACCCAGTGTATCCTCAGTACTGTCACATGGCTACAGCCGGACCAGGCTCCTGTTACTCTTGAAACAGGCCGCCTGCCCTTGCCACGGTCCCATCATCCCTGGAATGTTCTGACCTCAGTTGCTCTGGCTCTCCTGGTCATATCGGCTCTGCCACTTACATGGTGTCTCCTGGGGACACTGTGCCTGCCTGAGCTTATTTCCTTGTCTGTAGGAATGGGGCCCCTCCCCACCTCCTGAAGGTCTGAGCAATGTGAGCACCTCCTAAACCAGAATCTCAGAGCACGCTAGAGCCTCAGTGACCTCCAGGCTCCCAGTCACATCCATGTCAGCTACCACGTATCAGTTGGTCAGAATGAGGTGCACAAGAGCCATGTCCTATTTTGCTTCCACTTGCTTGTGGGGAATGAACTTTCTCTCAACAAAATTTGACCGCTCAATATCACAATAGTGGAAGTCTGTTATGATCCTCGTGAGTGACGCAGTGGCAGGGGTTTTCCCAGCTCCTCAGAGAGATATTCAAGAGCCCTCCCCAGCTGGCTCCTGCCACCATGGTCACCACTGTTTACACAGACGTGGCCCAGCCTTGTTGGGCTCGGGGGCCCATCATTCCTCCTGCCTGCAGTGCCTGCTGCCCTCCCTTCATTGTCCCTCAGTCCCCCTTCTCAGCTCCGAGGTGCCTTCCCAGACCTGCACGGGGCTCCTTGGGCTGCCACTGCATGCTGTCCGTTCTGCCGGAAGAGCACCTCAGTGTCTTTTCTGCTTGGAGACTTGGGACTGCAGGAAGCATGCCATCTTCCTCTTTCAGGTCCCAAATCTGTGGATGCTGCAGGACCATAATAAATGATAATCCCAGCACTTTGGGAGGTAGAGGTGGGCAGATCACCTGAGGTCAGGAGTGAGCCTGACCAACATGGAAAAACCCCATCTCTGCTAAAAAGACACAGTTAGCCAGGCATGGTGGTGCATGCCTGTAATCCCAGCTACACGGCAGGCTGAGGCAGGAGAATCACTTGAACCCAGAAGGGTGAGGTTGTGATGAGCTGAGATTGTGCCACTGTACTCCAGCCTGGGCAACAAGACCGAAACTCTGTCTCAAAATAAATAAATGATTGTTGAGTGCGTCTATGGTTAGAGACGTGCACTGTGGGGCAGGAAACTGCTGCTCTTCAAAGTGCCACAGACAAACTGGTGGCATTTTGGTAAGGAGAAAGTGGCATGAAGCCAACAGCCCAGGTTCCCAGATCTAGATGTAAGCCCTGTGACTTCTAGGCTGCCTGAACCTTTTGACCCTATGCTCACTCATATAGAATGAAGATGACAATATCTACCTTAGGCTCTTGTGGGGGTTCGATGAGGAAAATGATAGTAAAAATGCCAAGTACTGTGTCCTAAACCTAGGATAGCATTAACACTTGTTGGCTAATTTTTCAGAGATGGGATATTCTGAATGTTGAAATTGTGATTCCCAGTAATGACAAATCCCAAAGGAAAGTGAGAGATTGAGAAATAGAAGTTACCCATGTTGGGAGTGCTTTGATTTCTTCAGATTTTTAACAAGAATGTTTGCATAAAACTCATGTTCATGGCGGGGCACAGTGGCTCATGCCTGTAATCCTAGCACTTTGGGAGGCTGAGGCAGGTGGATTTCCTGAGCTCAGGAGTTCGAGACCAGACTAGGAAACATGGTGAAACCCCATCTCTACTAAAATACAAAAAAAATTAGCCAGATGTGGTGGCATGTGCCTGTAACCCCAGCTACTTGGGAGGCTGAGGCAGGAGAATTGCTTGAACCCAGGAGGTGGAGGTTGCAGTGAGCCAAGATCGCGCCATTGCACTCCAGCCTGGACAACAAGAGCGAGACTCCATCTCAATCAATCAATCAATCAGTAACTCATGTTCATGAACAACTCAGTAATATGAGAAAATAGTTATGTTCTAAGAACCAAGAAAAATAGAATTCCAAGTAATAAGTACAGACATAAAACATACAACAAGACAAGCAGGAGGCTGTCTGCAATTTGTGCTGTTTGATTAGATAATTCATTTTCATGGCTGTAAATTCCAAAGGTACAAAATGTTCTAGAATAGTCTGTTTCCTTCTTCTACCCAAACACTCAGCAACTGCCCTGGTAGGCAATATATATTACTAGTTTTTTTCAGTCTTCCCAGAGATGTTTCATGCATAGCACATATTCTGTTGATGGGTGTGATCTGTTCACTTCAATACATTATAATTTAGAGCAGCAACTCTAGCTCATCCCTAAGCAACCCAACCAAGAGGTGAAAACCCAAAAGATGTTATTAAAATCCTTTTCTCTCCTCGACGGGGAGGTTTGTACTCATGTTTTCATGAAGTCCGTTCAGTTTAGAGATTTCACTTTTTGTGTTTAAATATTTCACCTTAAAGTTTTAAATAAAGAGAAACAGCAAAGCTGAAACCTTAAACCTGAGACCTCAATATATACTTTTTTTTTTTTGAGATGGAGTCTTACTGTATTGCCCAGGCTGAAGTGTAGTGTTGCAGTCTTGGCTCGCTGCAACCTCCACCTCCTGGGTTCAAGCAGTTCTCCTGCTGCAGCCTTCTGAGTAGCTGGGATTACAGGCATGTGCCACCATTCTTGGCTAATTTTTATATTTTTAGTACAGACGGGGTTTCGCCTGGCTGGTCTCAAATCCCTGACCTCGGGTAATCCAGCCACCTTGGCTTCCCAAAGTGTTGGGATTACAGGCATGAGCCACCGTGTCCGGCCTCAGTATTCATTTTTAAAATCTCAATTCTTGGAAAGCTTTCTCGTGGTTAAGAGGCTGAGATATGGGATTGCACAATCTGGGCCTAATCTCTGACTCAGCCACTGTGTGACCTTGGGGGAGTTACTTCACGTCTCTGTGCCTTAGTTTCATCGTAAGGAAAATGAAGATAGTAAGAGTTCCTACCTCATAGGGTGGCTATGAGATTAAATGAGCAAATGTGTGAAACACTTAAAAGAGGGTTTAGCACTGTTGAGAGTTTACTGTTGTCTTACCTGGCTCTGCTATTTAAATAGTTGCAAGACGAATCTAGCCATTGAACTGCTTTTTGGTACTGTGAAACTTGGGCATTTACAATTCTAGCGTCCTATTTATGTCACTAGCAAAAACCTATGTCTTGTGCACAGTAGGGACTGCTGACAAAGGGTGCTGTTGCTGGCCAATATTCCAGAACCTGGGACTGGGGACAGAAACTTTGTCTCATGTTTTGACCCTAGGGAAAAAAAAAAGACTCGTGAGTCATCATGTTTTAGGCATAAGAAAGGTTATTCTGGAGAGGAACGAGATCCTTAAAAAAACGTTCATAAAATTAGTAATTGATTATGCACAATGAAATCATGTTCCAGAGATGACAGATATCCTTGTATGTATGAGATTAAAGATGATGACAAATACTGACTCATGTCCACTGTGAAGGTGACCTTAACTTCCAGGAGCAGTGGAGCCATTTGGGCAGGACAAAGATGATTGTTAGTGATGTAAGACATCGGGCTTGCAGCATCTCCCTTCCAGATTTCAAAAAGAAAATGCAGCTTCTTACACTGGCCTGTGCCACTCACTCCTTCCCCCTGCCCTGACTGGAGGACCGGACAAATGCCTTCAGGAACTACTAAACAAGTACTGAGGTCTCATGGCCCAGAGCAGGGGCAAGCTCCCCTCCTCTGGGGCACTGTTTGTCCTTAT